GGGTGTCGAAAGGGGAGACTTGCACTTACGTTTCATTCCTGCATCGTGCTTCGCACGGAAGAAGGCGTCAAAAACGCCACACTGCTCTTTGAGTAGGGGTCATTGGCGTGTTATGCAGTTTTTGTTTCCCGACATCAGGGAAGCACACAACGGTCAGGAGATTGGACTGACGGCGGGTATTTAAAGACGACGTTTTGAAATTCGGTTACCAAAGGATACTACGGGTCCGAGGGATTCTTTAGGATTGAAGATACACTTCGTGCGTTCAGCACCCTCTTAGTGTTCTCCAGGACAGCTTTATCCAGAATCAACGACGAGTTAATCTCCTCATCCGGCCATATAATGACCAATTCGGCTAAGTCGTCTGCCCTCAAGACACTTTCGAACTCTTCGAAGGACATTTCGTCTAGCTCAAGAAGAGCATCCACCACAGCAATAGCCTCAAGGGTGACGTCGCCGTCTTCCTCCTCCGTCATACCGCTAACAAGGGTGTATAGCGCGTCGCTATCGTCTACAGAAGATACACCCTGGGTAAGGGTCGACGCACTGCGTCTTGCAAATATCACACGGCGTCGCCGTTGCCTCTCCACTGAAGTTTAATGTGTCGACGAGACTAGTAGGAACACGCACTTAGCGTCGTCCGGTGTCCCCACTCCCTGCTCCAAAGGAGACTTGATATTATTAACAGCATCCGAAGAAGAGCTGCTAGTTCCGCAGTCTTCGTCCAGTGGATAACGCGTCACTCCACGCGCATCTGAAGGGCCTTGCTCAGGATGCCTCGGACCTCGTCCGACCATGTCACCTTGGACATGCAGTAGTTGCTTCAAAACGTGAGCAGTGTTCAGTAGCTTACGTGCTACTCCATAGCTGAGATCCATTGGCTCATGCCCACCCGACGGCACTCAGCATAGCTGAGCTTCTTTGGCTCATGGCGGCTCGACGAACTATGATGGTGTGTATTCCAACCAAGTCGTGCTTACTCAAAGTTGAATTCGGCTTTCAATGCCACGTTCACCGCTTCTTCAAAAGAAGATGATACACACGGATGACTTACATTTTGGTCGCGCCAGTGCGGAGGCCCTTCAAATAGATGGTCACTGTGACCGCCTCGGGGAGAGGATCGGCTGTCATTCTGGCATTGACAGTCCTCATTCCTTGGACAGAGTCCACAAAGTCCTTCTTGCCCTGTCGGGAAGCAAGGAAACGTGATCGCTTGCAAAATGCCTGATCAGGCGGCGGGAATAGTCGCAAAAGCTGACGCTTCTGCTCCTTCTAGGAGTGGTTACTAAATCGACGCCGTAGTTCTTCGCCATTTTGCAGCTGGCGCGGACACGGGGTTTTATAGCCGAAAATTCCACGGATTCGCGCGTATTAAT